CCAGTGGCCCTCTTCTCTACGTAGACAAGTCGGACATTCTAGTAGTATATTAGAGCTTCTCTCATGCAGGCCTGGATGGTTTGATTTTTATGGCTTAATTCTCACGTGATGTCGAAGGATATTTGCTGATACCTACGCAAGAGCAGCTAGCTAGCGACACGCATGCTGCTTTCGGCCTTGAGACTTGGAGCGCATGTGCGCCCTGGTCTGCCGACGTGCGCCAAGTTGCTAGCCTTTTGATTTTCCTTGATACACGAGTAGCAGTGCTGGTGAATCGGATATCTTGATGCTTCAGCTTCAAGTGACTAGCGTGGATAAAGGTTTTGATGAGCAGCACGCGGCAGTTGGCCACCAAGGCCGACAACCGCGTGACAACTATCAACACAACGGTGGTACATCAGTTACAGAGTCCTCAAATTGGAGAGCGGCGGCCGCCGTCGAGATCAATTGGGTCGGGCTAATTGCTAGCGCCGCACTCAATCATTGTCAACGCCAAAATTTCTTCTGACCCCGATCTGATTTGTCCGCCGCCGGATTTTTCTTTGCTGTCGGTTGACAAGCTCGGAATCAATGTAGACGAAATAGCCCATCTGTTCTCTGAGTTCACCATGCGGGGCCTGCATGGGCCACCACTGTGAGAGTAGAATCCGACATATCCCTCGATCGGGTGTCCTAGCGAGGTGAGTAGATGGAGGGGAAACAGGAGACCAGATTTACCCAAGTTCAGGCCCTCGTTACGAGGTAAAACCCTACTCCTGCTTGTGTGGTATATTGCGATAGGGGTGTACAAATTACAAGATTTAACCGAGGGATTGTTTGTTGCATATCGACTAGCTTGGCTCGACTTATATAAGTTACCAGGGCCTCTAGGTTTACATGGACCTAGTCAGCTATGTCGGTGGAGGGGAGTCCTCCACAGCTCGGCCTTCCTTGTCTTGAACAACAAGGCTTCCAGAGTCTTCCTTCTATAGGGCCATGGGCCGGCATGATGGCCCATGGCAGAAATTGGCCTAGGGGGCCTCGGGCCGGCCTACTTGGGCGATAATCAGAGAGGTGAGGCACCCTTTGGCCGTAGCACCGTCAGTTATGTTGTTTATGGGGCGACAATCACAACACATATGCCAAGTACCATCTTTCTTATGAACAATTCCTTAGTCTCTTTGAAGTTGACGCGATAAGGGGAGGGGCATCGGGAATGAGGTCGATCCTATGTTCAATCCCATGCAGTGGAGGTATGCCCGGTGGGAAAACATCCTCAAATTCCTACAAAACGCAAGTCATCACAAAAGGAAGCGTGGGTGAATCGTTAGTCAACATGACTTCATTTTTGTACAAGAATACAAAGTAAAGCACGTGTGATGGGCTCTGCCTCACATTCCTTTTTTGGTGGTCAAGAGGTTAATGTCCTTGTTGGCGTTCAACATGGAAGCACTCATTTTTGGCTTGTGACGCTCACTCACTTTATGGCGGGTCACTCCATTACTAGATTCCCATATAGCATGCAAAGGTTGAAGCTTGAGATTTATTGACGATGATTTGACTCGCAGTCATCGGCCGAAGCACATTCCTTGCCCTTCCACTTGAAGCTATAGTGATTGGTGCGCCCATTGTGAATGACACTGCGGTCATACTGCCAAGGGCGTCCCAATAAGAGATGGCAAACGGTCGTAGCGACCGCATCGCATCCCAAGGTATCCTCGTATGCTCCAATCTTGAATGGGACTTCAATAGTATGCTCAACCTTGATAGTGCTGGAATCACTTAGCCATTGCACTTTGTATGGATGAGGATGTCGCTTCTTTGTGAGATGTAACTTGGCGTGAAGTTCCTCACTTGCCAAATGGTGGCAATTACCACCATCAATGATGACCCTGATAGACTTTCCTTGGATGCCTGCTTAGTGTGGAAGATATGACATCTTTGGTCATCATCATTTTGTTGTTGAAGGTCAAGATCTTGGAGACAACAAGGGCGGGGCTTTAGTCGTTGTTGCAGAAGACTTGATCATCTTCGTCTTTGTTGACTTGTCGGTGTAGCTTCCAATTCTTCTTCAATATAATATTCACTCTCCATCTTCATTGATGATCATGGTCCGCTTGGTGTGGCGCTAAATTGACTTGTGGCTGTGCCCCTTGTAAGTCAAGCATTCATTGCTTGGATTTTTGGTCGAGACCCTTGAAGGATTTGCAGGAGTAATTCTAGGCTTGGGAGCGCTTGAAAGGAGGACGACTTGGAGAGGTCGCCGGTACTTTGGAGCTTGATGGGGCACCACTAGTGTCTGTTGTCTAAGTATAAGGCGTCGTGCTTGGTGAAGCTTGAGTGTTGGTGTTGAAGTTCCGTGAAGTGTAGGAGTACTTGCAGTACTTACATCTTCTTGCACTTGTTGCTCCGTTTTTGTTGTTTGGCGAACCAACTCTAGCAAGTAGTTGTATGGTTGGAAATCCGCAATCCGCTTGATTAGGTGGTTGAGTCCATTGAGGAAGCGAGCCATTGTTTGCAAATCGGATTCCTTCACATTGGCTCAGAGAATTGCGATTTCCATCTCCTTGTAGTACTCTTCGACGGTCTTGGTGCCTTGCTTGAGTACTTGGAGCTTCTTGAAGAGGTTGCGGGTATGGTGCATGTGCACAAATCTCGCTCTCATGACTTGCTTCAATGGGGACCTCTCCTTGCTCTTGTCAATGTTCTGTGAGTTGTTCCCACCGTATGTGGACGTACTCATCAAACTCGAGCGAGGCCATTGCCATTTTCTTCACCTTGTCAAAGTTGTGGACACGGAGCATTTTGTCCACGTTGAGTGCCCATGATTGATATTCACAAATGGATGGCTCACAAGGGTAGTGGCAAGGAAGACAAAGTTGTGTGACGGAATGACATACCTCGTTGACACCTCTACCTTGACAAAATCGGAGGGCACCCGCCTTGCTTTTGGTGTTTGTGTTAAAAGGATGACATATCATCATCGTAGCCGAGCTTGGTTGTTGATGGAGGCTGTGTAGGGGCTAAGTTCTTTTGGGCGGCTTAAAAAATAAGCTGTCTCTCCCCAGCTTAAAAAATAAGCCGCTCCCTAAATTTGCTGTGACTTCTAAATTAATTATACCATAACTAGTTCAGAAGCACAAATGAATGAGGGAGACGGCTTATGGGAAAAGCTGGGGAGGAGGCGGCTTATTTTTTAAGCCGCCAAACGAACTGGCCCTAGATGTACTTGGCATTCTTGTTGAAGAAGCCGGACGTCGAAGCCAGCAAGATGCCCAACTTGCTGGCAAAGTTGCTGAAGTTGTAGTCAAGTCAGACCAAGGTCGGATAGTCCGATATTCTGGACTAAGTTGGATAGACCAACTTCGCCTAGGCTGGTGTGGGTCAACTTGAGGAAGAACTCGAAATTGGAGGTAGTTAAAGAAAATCAAAGGCAGATCAACTCACATATCACCAGATCCGTGGATCAAATCTAACCAAAACTCACCAGAAACAACAAATCGCTTGAAATCGGGTGACTATTTTTGTGGGGATTTTTGAAACTGGGAAGAACAAAAACAAAATTTGTCTAGAAATATGAGGGAGAGGGACTCCAAATTGTGGCAACCTGCACATGATACCAAGTGATATGGGGAAGCTGTTTGGTGGCCTGATCTTCACGATTTGAGGTGAAACACGATGAACAACGGGGGAAACATAGAGAAAACACTCACATAGACAAGATTCACCACCAAAGTACTCAAATCTCATTCCAAAGAGAAATACACCTCAAGATCTGAGGAATTGGAGGTGCTGATCACCAAAGGAGAGGAAAAGAAGGTAACAAGGATAGTTCATCCCCAAATCCAAGAGGAATTGGAGGTCTTGAGAGATAATCTTCCCAAATCTCTAGGAGAGATGGGGTCTTGATAATCCAAGAGGATTCTTCCCCAAACTGGAGGTGTTGATTACCAAAGGAGAGGTAGATGAGCAAAGCTCTCTCAAGAATTTGGTCTAAACTTTGCTAACCCTAGATCTGAGATGGAGTACGGAATATATAGTATAGCCCTGAAGACGTAGGTAGGTGGAGAAAGCTACACGGGCCTGTGGCCCTCTTCTCTGCGCGTAGACAAGTCAGACATTCTGACATAAGTCGGACAGTCTGACTTGTCGGATGTTCCGACCCCATGTCCAACATAGTATTGTCCTGATTCAGAGAGCAATGTGGTAAGTCGGACCCTATGCTGGACATGAAGTCCCGAATATCTGACTTGTTGGACATCAGGTCGAATGTTTGAATCGGAACATCTGACTTTGTCCAGAGAGCATTTTGGTAAGTTGGACTATCCAGCAGGGTTTGGTCCTTGGTGATGTTCCTCGCTTCCTCTTCGAGCCCCTTCTTCTCGTTGCTTGAATCCTTCATATCTAAGAATGCACAATGTTCCCTAATGAGGTAGTAGCGACGTCTCATATGAGTGTATAGGAAGCTCTACTAGGAAGTCATGTCGGTTTCAATGGTTCAATTGGAGCTTGTGGGGTTGATGATGGGTTCGTGGTAATGTCCATAGGATGCATCGTATCACCATGGGTTTATGGTCGAAGTTGCAGAAAGCCCCATATCTTGGCCGGTGTTCACTTAGATTCAGGTTTTATGGGACTATGGCTGGACAAGTATTTGTCCTAACCAAATCACAACTTGATTGCAGCTCAATGGCAGAGCAGATTCACAAAAGAGGGAATCTCTACAGTAGGAAACTTTGTCAGAGACCACAGAAGGGGCTAAAATTGGTGGGGTTCCTTGAAACCTTATTACCATAAAACCTGGGTTGAAGTGCCGCTAGCTAAGAAACATGGGGCTTTATTTATCTACGGTTTTGTGAAATTTATTCTCACTTTCTCAGGGAGATTAAAGAGAAATCTGTTTTGTCTGATTTGACATCTGGTGCACCACACTTAAAATGCTACTATGATTAGTAAACATATCAACTTGACATATTCTTAGTATTCATCTTTTCTTTGCAATTTTATTATGCAGAAACATAATGTCTTTTGAAGATAATGCAATGGCTAGTCGTATCACCTCGCCCTCATCAAAAGCTATGGTATCAGAATCAGATCTTCGGATAATAAATGTTGCATCAAATGTGGATCATTCTCAAGCAAATAACCAGGCAAGTGCAGTCCTCGGTCCAGTGGCTATCTTTTGGGACATTGAGAACTGCCCTGTTCCAAGTGATGTACGGCCAGATGATGTTGCTGGGAATATACGGATGGCATTACGGCTGCATCCTGTTGTTAACGGTGCAGTTACAGTTCTCTCTGCTTATGGAGATTTCAATGCTTTCCCTAGAAGACTCAGGGAGGGATGTCAGAGAACCGGAGTCAAACTTGTCGATGTTCCAAATGGGCGGAAAGATGCTGCTGATAAGGCTATACTGGTAGATATGTTTCTCTTTGCTCTGGACAATCATCCACCGTCATCCATTATGCTTATATCTGGTGATGTGGACTTCGCTCCCGCTCTCCATATACTTGGTCAGCGTGGATACACTATTGCCCTTGCGATTCCATCTTCAGTTACCGTCTCATCGGCTTTGAGCAGTGCTGGGAGTTTCGTGTGGGACTGGCCTAGTCTTGCCCGTGGTGCAGGCAGTGTACCCCCCAGATCCTTAGGGCATCGTGCTGCTGATCCTTTAGTCTGTCCTAACAGTGTAACACCGGGGAAATTTCCTGACATACAGACTGAAGAGGAGGCCATTGTTTATATGGGAACTTTTAGGAATGAATATGGTGGCAGAACAACCAGCAACCAGATTAATTGCTATAACTCTTCACAGGTCACCGGAGAATCATGCAAAGCTTTCTGTACTCTGGCGGATGGCAGTTGTGGCACCGGCACGTCATCGAGGTCACATCATGTATTAGGTGGTTTGAATGAAGTCCCAGTGATAGACCAAGGATTTACAGGCGAACAATCATGGTGGGTTCGTCCGGGTGACCTTCAAGGCTTGAAGGGTCAACTAATAAGGTTATTTCAGTTATCTGGTGGATCTGTTCCACTTGTCCGTGTTCCTTCAGAGTATTTAAAGCTGTTCGGAAGGCACCTGTATGTAGCAGAATATGGAGCTGTAAAACTTGTTCATCTTTTCGAAAAGCTGGCTGAGTCTTTTGTTGTCATAGGGAAGGGTCAGAGGAAGATGATTTGCCTACGCAATTCTGGTGATAGGAACATGAAGAAATGTCCAAGCACACCAATAATTTTGAAAAATGAAAAGAGATTGAATGCTACTCTCGAGGAAGGTACTAGTGAAACATGTCAGCAGTTGAGCAGCTCATCAGAAGATCTCTCAGAGGATGAACAGAATATTAACCCTGACGTAGATGGAGCATATGTGTTTGATAGCCATCTATACAAGTGCAGAACAGAGGTCGAGGCTCTTCTTGTCTGTTACTTGTCGTGCCCTCTTCCACTCTCTCATTTTGAGTCCCTGTATGAGCAACGGTACAAGAAGACTCTCGACTACCAGAGCTGTGGAGTTGATGGTCTGGAGGAACTGCTTAACAAGTTAAAAGATGTTGTCGAATTGAATGTAGATGAGATCAGCAACATGAAGTTCATCAAAGCCAAGTCACCAAAATGTAGTCCCTCAAAGCCATGTTAAATAGTGGTTGTCCTAATATCAGTAGTATAGTCACTTGAGTACTTAGGATTTTGTTTCCTCGCTGAGCATGTTTGTCAAGCACTGGGCTGACGTCTATTTTAATCATGTCGGTGGGATAGGAGCAGACGTGCAGTTGCACAGCAAATGCTTGCAATATTATCTTGTTCTGCTAATCTAATCGAATATTGGTTGCTTCATTTATTGAATAGTGAACCATCTTTTGGCTGTTCGCCACTTGTATGCTTGGATACCTCATTCTTGTTAGGTTAGACATGACTTGTTTGTCGCACTGCTGAATTCGGAATGTAATCATTGTCAACAGATATAATGATTATTATTCTCTACAGAGGATCGTCATCTTCTAACAATGCATCATAAGCTATTCCCAACACACCATTTCATTTTCGGCTTTTGCCCGGTTTTCCGTAATTAACTGGACAATTCTCTTCTACTTATTAATAGATGAGGCAATCTTTGCCTCCGTTTCAAAAAAAATACACCATTTTTATGTACGTCGCAATCGACAAGTTCACAAAGTGGCCAGAGATGAAAGCAGTGAGGAAGGTCACAGCTCAGTCAGCCGTCAAATTCTTCAAGGGACTAGTGTGCCGTTTTGGTGTACCCAACAGGGTTATCACCGACAACGGTACATAGTTCACAGGCCGCACCTTCATGCAATATACCCAAGACCTCGGCAGCAAAGTCTGTTTCGCTTCCGTTGCTCACCATGTGAAACCTCGTTTTCCCCCAAGCTATCGTGCTCCCATAACTCTAGGCCCTAGGGCTCGTTCCTGGGGCCAAGTTTGGTCGTAGTCGCGGCGGCGAAAGGATGAAACAAGGAGCCTGAACCCGCCTCATCTCTGCCTCCGCCAAGGGCGCGAGGAAGGTCGAGCGAAGTGGGGAGACGACAAGGCCTGTTGTCGGGCAAGGAAATGTTTATCTTGAAGATATCAAGGATTTACTCCTTGTCGTGGGTTCCACCCGCAAACAAATGACCCGGCACGCATCCCTTTTTCATTAAAAACGTTCCACTTAGGTACAGTCCATAGGGAATGAAAAACATGAATGATGAGATTACAAGTTTTAAATTCAACAAAGGCCCGAAGGCTTACAAACTAAAAAGAGATAAGGTGTCTGTAATCCCTTTCTTGTCCCTCTCCTCAGGGGGCATGTCAAGGAGGCGAAAGAGACAAAAGGAGCACCTAGGCGAACTACGGGTGGCAGAAAACACCAAGAGAACATCTTGGTGGCCGTCCAAAGGCTGGATGGTGATGGCGGCGCCGGAAGCAGAGCTCGAAGATGAGGTGGTAGGACGTCAGCACGCGTCGAAGGCGTCGGTGCCCGCGTACTCCGACTTGACAGCCTTGCCGCCCGCTCTCTTCCTCTTCTGCAGCCTCCCAACGCCAGCCGCCCAAGGAGATGACCCCGAGAAGTTCAGGGAGCCGGTGACGCGGATGATGGGGTCGCCGGTGCCGCATGGAGCGGCACCTGACACCTAATCGGACCCGTCATCCTGCCGCCTACTATCCTCGTCGTCGCTGCCGCTGTCCTCCTCGTCACTGCCGCCCGAGGAGGAGTCTTCACTATCAGAAGAGCTCTCCACGCAGCACCTTGCACGGGTCCCAAAGCACCCGAAGACCTTGACGGAGAGAAGGCCACCCTCCATCAGCTTAAAATGGAGAGTAAGCCCCTCCGTCAAGCGGTGGATATGGGCAAACGCCTTCCATCCCCGATGGAGATACATCACGTGAGGGGCGGGGAAGTCGACACGGGCCCGCGTGCCACTGATCCTGCAGCCCCTCATGTGCAGCCACAATGACTCCGGCGAATCCAGCTCCATCTCCCGCGCAAATGGAGTCGGGAGACGAAGGCAACGGCGCGGCGGCCGGCGCAGCCTGACGAAGAACTCACAAGGGTCATCCCCAACATGGCCCTCCATTGGAGGAGGAGCTGCTGGCGGAGGCGAGGCCGGCGCGCCACCCCGTCCTCCTCTTTCCCGAGCGCCCCGGCCTCACCAACGGCCTCGCCCCCTTCCCCTTCCCCTCACGGCTGGCTCTGCCACCACAGGCGCAGGAGAAGGAGGGACGCGTTGTCGAGCGGCGACCCTCGCCGCCACTGTTGAAGGACCGGGGTTCCCTCTCTCCATGACGGATGGAAGGGAGGAGCAGAAGCTGAAGGAAGAAGAAGATGAAAGAATGCGGGACGCCATCCCCCCTCCCGCTCTTTATAAAGGATCGGGGTTGGGGCCTGGCCGCCCCGCTCGGCCAATCAAGACACGGGAGGCGCAGGGAGCCAGGGCCGACCCGCTGCCCCAACCAGCGACGGCCCGGTTTCCCGCCTCCACCGTTTGCCACCCCAAGCGCATGGGAGACACGTGGTGAACGTGCAGAACCGAGGGGACGGGTGAGGCGACCTCTCCCCATCCCGTGATCATGGGGAGTGGATGCCTCGAGGACCGCGCCTCGGCCCCATTCAGTAAATGGGCCGCGCCTCCACGCCTCCCTCCATTTATGGGGAAGGCGCGAACCGCCCCCTTTACTACGACGTGACGCATGCCTGCGGGAACCAACCCCACACATGCCGCCCACGTCACACGCGCCTCCTCACGCCGTGCCACGCGCGGGAGTCGTGGGAAGCGCAGCGCGTGAAGAATCTTACCGCGGTAAAAACCGCCCCGCCTGCTCGCGCACCGTTTTTGGGCCTAGCCCAAACAACGCGTTGCGCTTATGTGTGGACCAGGCCCGGGGGCTCCTGTCGGTGTACAAAAAGAGGGGTACACTTTTTGTACCCCTATAATTGTGCACGTGCAGTCTGAGCCACGGGCACCACCACATCAAGCAAGGCAAGGGAGGTGAGCCAGGGTAAGACCGAAGCTCAAGAGAACTACGACGCCAAGGCCAAGACCACGAAGAGCAAAGGGGACAAAGCGGACTCCCCGACAAGATCCTTGCCGGGAGACAGTTCTAGAAGCCCCGGCAAGACCCTTGCCGCGGCGACTCGTCCCGCGCCTATGGGGCGAATCACCCTTGAGTCCACTGCCCCCAAGGGGCAAGGATTCGGGAGACATCCCCGTGGCAGCATGCAGATCTTCGTGAAGACATTCAAGATCAGATACGCACTAAGGAGGCGACAACCCTTGGCGGGATCCCAGCCGAGGAGGACCACAAGGCCCCCGGCAAGCGCCTTGCCAGGGATGACAGCAGGCGCCTCGGCAAGACCCTTGACGGGGCCCCGGCAAGGCCCTTGCCGAGGACACGCGCAGGGCCACCATCAGGCCCACGCCGACTGAGCCTCCACCATCGCATGCATGCAGCTGCCGACCCAACCAGCTGGGCAGGCACCTGCGTGGCGGCATGCAGATCTTCGTGAAGACCCACCACTGCGCCACCTCAGCTGCCTGCCTACCTACGTGGCATCTTAGGCATCGCTGGCCAGGGCGCGTGTCGACACAAGAAGGAGCAACGATGGATGAGACAGATCTCTCCCCCGTCCCCGATAAAGTAAGGACACCTAAGCAAGACGCATTAAAGGTGCCTTGTCATGTAATGCAAGGGATAACCTCGCATCACTGTACCCTTTCCACCTCCTGTGTGCCACTATGGCAACCCCTTTTCCTATAAAAGGAGGCCCGAGGCGACCAGGAGAAGGATTCGGCTTTTTGGAGCTCCTCACGCCCCATAGCTAGCTCAAGAACACAAATATACAATCCACCAAAGCAGGAGTAGGGTTTTACGCATCCTTGCGGCCTGAACCTGGATAAACGAACCGTGTGCTACCTGTTAGATCCGCTCTTCTCACGACCCCGCGCCCCGCCAACCGTAAGAGGGATTCCTGTGATCCCATAGGTGTCGTTCCACACCGACAGCAAGGTGGATATCATTATAACATACCATGAACTAAATATAATACAAGATAAAGGCTTACACTCTCCATAAGTTACAACATGTATACATGAATACATCAATACATAGCAATCATCATACAGAAGAGCAGGATCCGACTACGGATGAAATCAAATGAAAAAGAAGAATGACATCCACCCTGCTAATCCCAGGCTCCCTGGCCCGGAACCTATTCCATGATCGAAGAAGAAGTAGAAGAACTCCAAGACAAGAAAGTATGGCTCTCACATCAAAGCATCTCTTTACCTATACCTGCAACTGTTGTTTTAGTAATCTGTGAGCCACGAGTACTCAACAATCCCATTACCATGGGTATAAGGACTAGCAAGGCTTAATGGGTACAGAATGGATAAGTGGTGAGGTTGCAGCAAGCAACTAAGCATTGTATGGTGGCTAACTTACGAGTACAGATTAATATAAGAAACTACGCAACGATCGCAAACTAGTAATGATCAAGAAGTGATCCTGAACTACTTATGTTTAAACATAACCCAAACGTGTTCTCCTCTCGAACTTCCTGCAAAAGAGACAGTCACGGTTACGCACGCGGTTGGTGTATTTTAACTGAGTTTACTTCAAGTCCTCTACAACCGGATAGTAACAAATTCCCATCTGCCACATAACCGCGGGCACGGCTCTCGAAAGTTTAAACCCTACAGGGGTGCCCCAACTTAGCCCATGACAAGTTCACGATCCGCGGAGACAATCCTCCATCGTGGGACCCTTCGATTAGACTCGGAATCCCGATGCACAAGACATTTCGACAATGGTAAAAAAAGTCCAGCAAGACCTCCCGGCGTACCGACACCCTGATAGTAGCTGCGCGTATCTCGTCTAACGCCACGTCCAGATAAGCTAAGCGTACAAGATTCAGATACCCCAAGTTTCCTAGGGGTGGTCCCGCACGGTGCTCTTGTTTGGAACCAACACCATCAGCACTGGCCCCCCTTGTATGTAGAAAAGAATCCTCTGGTTCCTGACGCCCTATGCCAATTAATTATTTATGGCAAATGTTAAAACCAATGTCGGGCCTTGCTGGAAGAGTTTTATTCAAAGCGAACTGTCAAGAGGGCCCCATACCCCTCACCGTGTTAGGGA